ATATATATATGTGTGTATATATATATATATATATATATATATATATATATATAGGGGTGCACTGATTGCAGTTTTCTGGCCGATCACAGATTTCTAAAAAGTCGGACCTGCCGATTCCCATTTTGGCCGATACCGATTTTGTTTTATAAGCGTCACTGTCTGGAGTTATAAGGTCACAATGCACCTTCAATTTTCCAATATTATTTTGTTGAAAAATATACCCTTGAACAATATCCAAGAAACAATACAAACTTGTTTTAACTGGCTATGAGGTAGTGCTCTGAAATATAAATGAAGTTCAGACAATTGTTGTTAAAACTAAAAAAAAATCTGTAAAATCGGTTTCTCATGCAAGTATCGGCCGATTTCCAATTTCCTAAAATTAAAGAAATCGGGGCTGATAAATCGGATGACCGATTTATCGGTGCACCACTAATATAAATAAATACATATATATTTATTTTAATATATGAGTGGGTGGCTGTGGCTGAGTGGTTAGAGCAGTCGTCCTCCAATGCAAGAGTTGGAGGTTCGAATCCACCAGTAGTCACATGCCAAAGTGTCCCTGGGCAAAACACTAAACCCCTCATTGCCTCCGATGTGTGTCCCATCAGTGAAGCTCATTTATGTTCTGTCATAAATGTTAAATTATTTCAAGTTCTAACAACATTTAATAAAAGATGCTCCTCAGGTTCAGATAAAAAAACAAGTTCTGGTTCTGAAATGGAGTTTCTAAAAAATATTTCAGCAAAGCAAAAGTTTTTAATAAAGAAAGACAGATGATCAGTAATAATAATAATAATAATAATAATAATAATAATAATAATAATAATAATAATAATAATAATAATAATAATAATAATAATAGTATAATAATATATATAATATATAATAATAATAATATCATAATAATAAAAGTAATAATATAATAATAAATCAGTTACCCTGACTGTTTCTGAACTGATCAATAACCACTCTCCTGACATCAATAATCTGTATTGATACCTGATCAGGTTTAGCCCTCACCTTGTACAGCTGCACCCTGTGGTCTCCTCCTCTGGTCCCTGCGTTTCCATGGAGATAGAGTATGATGGGGTGGGCGGAGCCAAATGTGGAGTCGTACCAGTTGCCGTCTTTCCCCTGAGCAGCTCTCCACATGTGGGATGGAACCGTGTGCCTGAAACACACGCAGATTTGTCACGAGTCGCTTCGACGTGGAGTCTGAATCAGGATGACACAACTAAACGGGCCAGGTAGAACCACAAGAATCAGACCAAGGCTGACCTACACGTTCCCTCTGAGCCAGAGGAAACAACAGAAATGTGTTTGTTGCTCTTTAAGGGATGCACTTAGTCTGCAGCCCAGCTGGGTGGGCGGAGTCTGGGCTTGATCTGAGTGAAGCTCCTCCCCCAGCTGCTTGTCATCATTTCTACACAGGTCATCGTCTGGCTGACGGAAAACGTTGGTTACGTACTGTAACCCCAGATTCTATGAGTACAAGCGTAGCCCTTTAAGGCTGTCGCTGATGGGTTTATCCCGATATGCAAAGCATTGCACTGAAAAATTTAGTCCACGCCCACCTGCCGTGTGGGCCCCACCCGGTCCGTATAAATTACGTTAAGAGCGGGAAATAAGCTCCCAAAATAGCTTTTTCTTCAGTCATTTAGGAGCCAGTGAGGCCCGACGCTTAAAGGGCTACGCTTATACTCATAGAATCTGGGGTTAAGGAAACGTTCTATTTCGTATAAGCTTCGCCCTTTAAGGCTGTCGCTGATGGGTTAAGGGCGAAGCAGATGTTGTCCTTGCCTCACTGGGTCCATTTGAACACCGTATGAAGCAGAAGCTTGCCCAAGAAACGTCTTGTCACTCAGCTCCCCATGTGCGTAATTACGCATTGCGTAATTATGTGTGCCATGCACAGACGCATATTGTGTAACTGCGTTCTGAATGCATGAACGCCCCGGAAAATTCAACGGGGAGGGAAAAATGCTGAAAAGAGCCATGAACCAACCGGTTTACGGCTGAACCCCTCTAACGATATCACTCTTGATTTAAAAGAGCTCGTGATGTTTTAAGGCATAAAAGCTGGGTTTGGTCTTAAATCAGCTGAGCTGCCGTCAGCTTGAATTCTGAGACATGACGGCGCGATAGAGAGGGCAGATAAATCACTCACCCTCTTAGCGGATGTTAAAGCCAGCAGCAGGGCTGTTTAAAGAGACAAGAATTTAAGTGGAACCTGATCTAGACTTAAATGGACCTTTGATCATGACCTGCAGGACCAGTGTTAAATCCCACTGTGGAACAAGTGGGTGTGGAACAGGCCTGCGTCTCTGTACACCTTTTAGAAAACGCTTCATTAGCGGATGATTAAAACCTGTTCTTCTCCGAACCCTTCATGGCAGGAAGAGATGACTGTAGCGTACGTTTTAATCGTGCTGGATGCCAAATTTCTGTCCATCAGCTGCTGCAGAAAGGACAGCATGTCACCTAAAGGACATGAGGTAGCCTCTACACCCTTCTCTGTACACCAGCGCTGAAAAGCTGTCTGCTTTGATGTGCACAGCGCTGTGGTAGATGCAGCACGTGAAACCTGAATTGTGCACACTACATCCTGTGGGAGACCCATCCTCTCTAAGCGGATCCGTTCAGCGGCCAGACCACAGGTGCTGGCCTATTTCTGGGTAACTCCTGATCGCTCCTCCTGCCTCGAGGAGAGCGTCCTCCCTCCACGGCAGTTTCCACGGGCGCCCCGACAGCAGGCGTTGAAGGACTGGGAACCATGGTGCGCTCATGCGTTCGGGGGCCACCAGGAGAGCTGTCAATCCCTCCTCCTGAACTCGGTTCAGGAACCGTAAAATCAGAGGAGGTGGAGGAAAAACGCGTACAGAAGCATTTTGGGCCATGGGCTGTGGGCAAACGCACCCACCCCCAGCGGTGGTTCGTCTCGCGGGCTCAGAGAAAACCATAATTGACACTGAGCCTTTTCTCGTGTCACAAACAGGCCCACAGCTGCTATTTCAATCTGAGTCAAAATGCTCCATCAGAGGATGATTAAAGGTTGTTCTGTCTCCAACAACTTTGAGACAAGAAGAAAACATGGCTGCAGCATACGATAATCGTGCTGGACACCAGATTTCTGTCCATCGACTGCTGCAGAAAAGGACAGCATGTCGTCCAGTGGACATGAAGTGGCCTCTACGCCTTCTCTGTACACCTTTTACAAAACGTTTCATCAGCAGATGATTAAAGCTGTTCTGTCTCGAAAATTTCGTGACAGGAAGAGATGGCCGCAGTGAACGTTTTACACGAGCTGAACGCCAGATCTCTGTCCATCAGCTGCTGCAGAAAGGACGGCACACCACCTAGTGAACATGAAATGGCCTCTACACCTTTCTCTTTACAGCAGCGCTGAAAAACTGACCACTTGATGTGAACAGCGCTGTGGTGGTTGCAGCAAGTGAATCCTGAATCGTACGCACTACATCTTGAGAGAGATCCATCCTCTCAAAAAGATCCGCACAGTGGCCAGACCACAGGCGCTGGCCTATTCTGATTAACTCCTGATCGCTCCTCCAGCCTGGAGGAGAGCGTCCTCCCTCCACGGCAGGTTCCACGAGTGCCCCGATAACAAGTGTCGTAGGCCTGGGAACCATGATGCATTCACGCACTTGGGACAGAGGAGCTGTCAGTCCCTCCTCCTGAGCTCGGTTCAGAAAACCGTGATATCAGAGGGAGAGAGGGAGGTGAAGAAGCATTACGACTATAGGCTGTGAGCAGACACGTCCACCCCTAATGGTGGATCGTCCCGTGGCTCCAAGATAATTATAGTTGACATTGAGCGTTCTCTCGTGTTGCTACACGTCCACAGCCGCTCGCAGGATTTCTGCCGTGTCTGAGCCATAGCTCTGGGTGGAAGGTCCCAGGTCCCCGTGCCGCAAAGGACCGTCTTTGGACATCACATCCGCCCCCTGTTCAGAATATATGAGATGTACCCTGATGATTCTGCAGCTCAAGGCAAGTGTTGAATCACATAAAAAAAAAACCGTGCAACACTCCAAAAACATTTAAATGAGCTGCTGTGTGGAGAACCACAGCGCCCCCACAGCTCGTTAAATGTGTGTGCCTCTGTGAAATCTGACATGTGTGATGTAGGTCTGCTGACGGAAACAGCTGATATCACTCAACCGGTTCACGTGAGTTGCACTGCTGCCACCTGTCTGTACAAACTGCTCAGCAGCAGCAGGTGTCCAGATAAACAGCATCCTCCTCCCTGCTCTGTGTGGCGGCTGCAGAGTGGCTCGGGCACATTAATGGAGTGTTGTTTCTCACAGTTCAAAATTGACAAATCTAGAATAAATCTCATCTTTCCGGTTCGTTGGGACCAGGGAGTGACGAGAGAGGAACCCTGCGTTTTCCTCTCCTTCTGAGACTCTGGAAAATTACATTTAAATCAGAATTTCCTGAGCTTCTGCGAGAGGGGACGAGATCTGTTCAGAAATGACAGAAAACGTCATTAGAGTTCCTCCGCACCAGGTTTGAGCTGTACTGCAGCGTGAATCCCTGGATGAAAACGGTTCGCCTATCCATCTGGAGCGCACGCTCATTGCCACTCGTTATAAAGTTGTAAAGCGGGCATGCGTTTATGCTGTGAAACTCACATGCATGCTGATGTGAGCTGGTGCGCGCTGAAGGAGAAAGAAAAAACGCGCGCCCCCGAGCATGCAGATCGTTGGTGCGTTTGCTGATGCTGTGGGACGCAGCTCATGTGTTGTGCTCACGTTGTGTGCAGCTGCTCCATGTAAACGCTCGGGGAGCGGGTGCACGTATGAGCCGACGTGCTCTTAAGAGTCGTGTGTGCGCGCCCTCATTCATGCGACGCCTTAAGCCAGGATTGCCGCGGGAGCGCGCTTTTGACGCTGGTGCGGTCAGGAAGCAGCGCGTGGCATCAGTGTGGCGAGGTTACCACTGGGCTCGGTCTACAGAAACACGTTCATTCTTGGCTGCGAATCACGTGAGCTTTTGAGTGATTCCACGAGCTGCAGTATTAATTCAGAAAACCTTCTTCGAGGATGAAGGAGTGGAGCCGTTGTGAGGCTTGTGAAACTGTTGATGCCGCGGGAGCGCGCGTTTGACATCACTGCGATGAAAACGCGTGTCGCTCCTGCCGAGAGCGAGATACGTTACTGGGCTCGTACCGCGGTCTCACGTTGACATGAACGACGGGCGCTGAGAGCTCCGTGCGCGCTTTCATGCCGCGGGAGCGCGTGTTGGCACTGCTGGCAGTGAACGAAAACAACCTTAAAAGGCTCATTCGTGATGAGTGTGTGTGATGGGGCCGCTTGTCAGATCATCCGTGCTGACAGCCTGGCTAAAAGACACTTCATCATAAAATGATGTTTATTTCACATCGTGTCATCAACACACCTCCAGCAAACCGACACCTGGTTATCCTCCCTTGAGCTCTGTTTGTTGTCCTAGAGGGCCCACTGTTGGCGAAATCCAGGAAAAAAATGAACTTCCGGATGCCGGGGACGTCTGACGGGAGGGGCTGGCATAGCAGAGCTGGGGAGGTGTTGTGCAGCCATGGAGCATCTTGAAATGATCTCTCGCTGATGAAAAGGCCCTCCAACAAAAGCTTCTGCAGCTCTCCTGAGAGGAAGATGGGGTGATGAGCCAGGAGAACCTCTGGGACCTTGTTCTCTGGTTGCGATGCGGGGCGGCAGACAGCAAAAGAGGCGCACCGGTTGAGGATGACGTCAGCTGCCCTGTAGACGGAGCGTACTGCAGGGGCCGATAGCGTTGTTGGCAAGCAGCCGCTACGAGAGCGGAGCGAGCCGAAGGTCAGAGGGCCCACTGTCTCTTCCCGCCTCTGAACGTGTACGCCAACAGCGTAACGTGTTGTTCGCTGCGGCCGTCTGGAACGCATGTTGGTGAGCTCAGTTGGACAGCGGTGTCACCGTCTCGGTTACGCTAACCGGAGGCACAGGACGCTGGTCCACCTGGAACATCTTGCTCCAATGAAGCCTCCATCAGGCTTGGCTCCAGGGGGCACTGAGGGACTTTCCGCTCGGTGAACCCCTGCTCTGGAGATGGGTGCAGACTGTGGAGACCGCCCCCCCCAATCTACCAGGAAAAACCGGCTGTGGCCTCGCCCGTAGGACGTCCTGTTGGGAAAACGAGGCCAGATGGATCAAGACGGTGAGCCGGAATGGAACCTAGTAAAACAGTCTTCCCGCCCGATCATCCGAACTGGCGGGAAAAGGCGTGGGACGTAAAAGAGGGTCCCTTCATGTCAGCCGCCTCCTGGGTTACGCCGGGCAACCCCAGAGGGCGCCGTCGGCCGGGAGCGGTGTGATCGCCGATGCGAAACGAGGTGAGATGAGGTGAGCATTCGCTCAGCCCCCCTCCACCGACACTACGCTCTCCAGGAGGGAATGAGCAGCGGGGGGCTGCAGCTGAGCACCGCCTGTCCCGGAGGAACCATCCGATTCGCTCCGAGGGTCGGCGATGAGGAAAATTACAAGATGGCGTTGTCCAGCGTGTAGTGACTTGTCACTGAGAAATACTCCTCGGCGCTTACCTTGAAACAAGACTGCTCGTCAGCTTCTCCTCGGGGAGGAGAACTCACCGGACGACCGGAGGTCAACGTGCCGGGCCAAGCATTCTTAACAAAGTTTGGTCATCTACACAACTTTCCTTCTTCGTTCTTCTGACAGTGCTATTAGCTTGCTGAAGAAAAAATGGGAGCCGATTTCCAGCTCTTAATGTAATTTATACGGAGCGGGTGGGGCCCACACAGCAGATGGGCGTTGACTAAATTTTTCAGTGCAATGCTTTGCATATCGGGATAAACCCATCAGCGACAGCCTTAAAGGGCGAAGCTTATACGAAATAGAACTAACGTCCCCACTCAGAGATGTTTCAGTTATTTACGACTCCCATTCTGAACAAGGTGGAACTTTGTGTAAAATTAAACATAAATACTAGAAAGCTAATACTGTATTCACAAATCACATAAAAGCCATATTTTAATCGCAATGCAACATAATAAACATCTCAAATGCTCAAACTTCAGAATATTACCACTTATTATAAATATCTTTTTGAATTTGATGACAGAAACACATCTCCAAAAAGGTTGTCAGGGGCAACAAAAGGCTGTAAAGTTCAGTGAAATTAATAAAAACAACTAAAAGAGTTCATGTCAACTCGTCAGTAAGAAATGGTGTATGAGAAAATGTAAGAAAGTAAAGCTGGGCAGGGTTTTTTCTTTGTTGGCTCATGTAGTGTACACCTTCAGGACTCTACTGTCCCTGAACCCTGGGACCCATCTCCAGGGCACTCTGCAGTGAATGAAAAACTGTGTTAAAATTTCAAACTGCACCACAAAATGGCTGCCTCACCAAACACTGATTAATGAAGAACTCAAACACAGCCTGTGAAAAGACCTGATGAAAATAAAGTTCTGGTTCTGCTGCATCAGAGTCGTTTGATGAAACAGAACCAGTTGGGTCTGGGAGGGAGACCAGATTTTACAGAAACCCTTGAAACCATCCAGGTCCTGTTTGTAGATGAGAACTGACCTGCTGACATCAAGGTCAAATTAAATACATTCACTGTTCTGCCTCTACATTAAAAACAATCAAGAACTATTTTCATCATCTAATAAAATAGAATCATTCAAATACAGATTACAGAAGCTCTGTTACTACAGATGTATACTAACTGTAGTGTTTTGTCTTTCCAACAGTGTTGGATCAAAATAAAATATTTAAATTTTAAACATTTCATTGTTACTCCGGTTTATTCCCACAGACCAAAAACATGCATGTTAGACTGAATGTTAACTCTAAATTGGCCCTAGGTGTGAGAGTGAACAGTTGTTTGTCTAGTCTGTCTTTATGTGTCCCTGTGATGGACTGGAGACATGTCCAGGTGTCCCCCACCTCTCACACAGTGACTGCTGGACATGGACACCAGTGACCCAGAAAGAAAGAAACAGGTGAAGATAATATATGGAAAGATGGGTTTGAATATGTTGCCCAAAAAGTGTCTGTGTTTATCTGTCTGTTAGCAAAACGATCTCATGGACAGACTTCTCCCAGGAGGTAATCACTGATGAACATCTGATGAACTGCTGGAGTCAATTAATTCAAGATGGCCACCTCAACTAATGGACTGCTGCAAACACAAAATGATTACAAGTCAGGCAGATATCCAAATACTGAGCCAAGATTCTGTATGTGTGTGTGTGTGTGTTTGTGTGTGTGTGAGTGTGTGTGCGTGCGTGTGTGTCTAGTACCAGGCTCCGATCCTCAGGCCTGGTTCAGGTTCCAGGTAGAAGTTGCGTGTGTGGTTCAGACCCTGGTCAAGTGGTCGCTTCAGGTCGATAAAGTACGGTATTCTCACTGGGACAAAAAGCACACACAGGTCACATGAGCACATTTCAACATCCACCGCCCTCTGATGTGTCAAAGGTTCTGATCCAAAGAAAAGAAACGTCAAAGGAAAGTTAAAACAACAGCCCGCTCAGAGGAAGAGTTCACTCTAACTAGAGATGCGGTGAGGCTCGGGTCAGATGGACCGACCATGGTCAGTGATCAATTTGTCATTGCTCAAAACTCTTGATATTTTTTGTCATTGAACACATCACCGAAAAGACAAATCTCAAGCTGCAGCTTCCAGCACACGGCTCGGCTCTGCTCATTACAAACATTTCTACTGCGTGGAGAAAACAGGAAGTGTGTCGTTTGGACCATCTATAGGGTGTTTAGAGATAAAATCAGAGGAAGACAGACATTTCAGAGGCTGTTAGAAGGAAACATGTTTACTACGGAGTAATATTCTGCTCTGATCATGCAGCTAAAGGTCAGTTTGAGCTGGAGCTTAGGAAACAAAAGAGAGGATTAGTTCTGTACCTGAGATGGTTTCAGTCAGGAGTTTATCATAGCACACAAACAGCTCTGCTGAAAGATACTCATGTCTTGTGTAAGTGTTATACTTGTCCTGTTAGAACATGATATTAGGATTACAGGAACAGCTCTTAAATGTTTTAAATCATTTTTATTTGATAGATTCCAGTTTGTAAATGTAAATAATGAATCTTCTTCAAACACCAGAGTTAGCCATGGAGTTCTTCAGAGTTTGGTGTCTGGACCTCTTTACATCACATTTACTTCCATTAGGTAAAGTTATTGAAGAAAACAAGATAAATGTTTATTGTTATGCTGATGATAGTCAGTTATATTTATCCATGAAATCTAATGAATCCACTCATTTACTCGGATTACAACCTTTTCTCAGAGACATACAAAACCTGGATGACTTAATTTTGTGCTTTGAAACTCAAGACAGGTTGTGGTTTTGAACGTGAGCATCTTAGAAACCAACTCTGCAGACTTTCACTTCCTCTGGATTGCATTAATTTGTCCTCCAGTTCTGATGTAAAATGTTATTTTGGATCAGGATGTCATTTAAATATCTGTTCTAGACTGGACTGTTGTAATTATTTATTATCTGGGTTTCCAAAAAAAAAAAAAAAACCCTCTTCAGTTGATCCAAAGTTCTGCAGATAGAGTTCTGATGAGGTTACAAGAGATCAGCTTTCTCCAGTTTCAGTTTCTCTCCATTTACTCCCTGTCAGGATTTCAAATCTTACTTCTAACAAACAAATCTCTCAACAACCTAGATCCATTTTATATTACACATCTTAATCGTTCCATATTTTCCTAACAGAGCACATCTCTCTCAGACTGCAGGTTACTTGTGGTTCCTAGAGTTTGTAAAAATAGAATGGGAGGCAAAGTTCAGTTCAGTTCTCAAGCTCCTTTTTTGTGGAACCAACTTCCAATTTCTGTCATACTTGTGTTTTTATTTTTAATTATTTTTATAATTAAAGTATTCTTTATCTGTCTTTATCCCCATAGAAACTATAACTAGACTATAGAAACAAAACCTGGACTATAGAACCTACGTGGGCCACTGAAACCACAACTGGACCATAAAAACAATACTTAGACCATGAAAATTACACCTGGACCATCAACACCATGCCTGGACCATAGAAACCACACCTGGGCCTTAGAAACTACACCTGGACAATACAAACCACACCTGGACCATAGAAACCATGCCTGGACTATAAAAACAACAGCTCAACCATGGAAACAATGTCAAGACCATAGAAACTACACCTGACCATATAAACCATGCCTGGACCAAATAAATCACAGCTGGACTATATAAACTACCTCTGGACCACGGAAACTACACCACATCACAGAAAGAACACCTGGACCATAGGAACACACCTGGACCACAGAAACCCCAGCTGGACCACAAAAATCCCACCGGGACCACATAAACTACACCTGGATCATATGAACCACACCAGGGCATAAAAAAACACACATAAACCAAATAAACCACACTTGGACCATAAAAACCACACTTGCACTACAGAAACTACACCTGGATCACAGAACCCACACCTGGACCACATAAACTATGCCTAGACCATATAAACTACACCTGGATCATAGGAACTACAACCTGGACCACAGAAACTACACCTGGACCACATAAACTACACCTGGA